TTCGAAATGAAAAAGAGTCGTCTCGGTGCTCACTAGGTGGCACGAGACGCCCAGCACGGCAACGAGGCAGGGCTGATTGGGTGGGGTGGGGGGAGGGGAGTAGAGGGAAGGAGAGGGGCGGGCATGCGGGTGGCCGCTGGCGCTTTTTTCTGGCCGCTCCGGAGGCCGGAAGGGCGCGGGGCGCGGGCGTGGCGGGCCCAATTCGTCGCCATGCGCCGCGCCTCCTCCTCCTCGCCGGGTTTGGCAAGCAGCAGCAGCAGCAGCACGGGGCCAGCATCCGCCGCGCGCGCCCGGTCCGGGCGGGCACAGGCAGGCGAGGGCGAGGGCGGGGCGCGGGCTCTCGAGTGCGGCCCGTGAAGGCCGCGCGCGCCGGCCCGAATCAATACGCCCCGGCCTCGCCCGCTCTTGCGCGCCCGCGCTCGCGCGCTCTAATTTGTGCGGCCGCTGTAGCAACAAAGTCGAGCGCGGGGACGCCATCGCACGTGACAGCCGCAGACAGCCAGCTCAAGGAGGAGGCAGAAAGAGCAAAAGATGTACCGCGGATTTAAGCATCAGGTTGGAGCAGACGTTGTTTCAGCTGATTACGGTTAATGCAATTGGGAAATTCAATTCCAAAATCACAGTCATAAAGAAGCTCCATTGAAAATCGAAATTTAAAAAGGCAAAGATTGCTAGAAGCGATTTTTCAAGTTTAGAATTAAAACAATTTTTAAATCAAAACTTTTTGAATTTGAGATTATTATTACTATTACTACTACTATTATTATTCTTGATATTATATTATTATTATTGATATTATAAATATTTTTTCGTCAAAATGTTCTCACTCTTATTATTTACCAATATCAGACATGCAGCTTCCATTTGCAAGTATTACATACGAATTCGTCACGCATCTATTTTACTATATTTACGAGGTACTCATTGGTGTTTAACTTTCTCGAAACATTTGAAATATAGAATAGTAAGAACACAGCGATTCGGTTGAAGATCTTATTGACATTTAATTTTCAAAGTATTCAATGGGATACCTCATTCATGCATATCGAATTAAATATTTTAAAATTTCATCGTTTTTATTAAAATGTTCTTTTCCCACAATTTTTTAAAAGTGTTATCTGCACTGTTCCCAAAGTACTACAACTACGGAGTGATAAAATTACTACGCATGTCATTACATAATGTAATCTCACCTTGTTTCGTTTTGAAATGAAATCATAATGTAAAATAAAGGGACAGTTTATGAATTACATTAAAAAAATAATCGAGTGTTTCTCTTTTGGATTCGGACTATTTTTTTTTCGTATATGGTCCGCAAAGTGTATTTACAATCTTGT